GCTCCTGCACTCCCCAGGATTCTCCTGGTTTTATAAGTAAAGATACACCAGGAGAGCAAGGAAAAGGCACCTGGTGAACTGTACTCACCTCTTGTGCTGTTTATTTCTTCCTGCACTTCATGATCCATTTCCCCACTATTTTGGGTTGGTTCTCCTTGTTTTCACTGTGCCTCACACCCTATTTCTTACTTTTTTATTTATGTGCAAGGCTCACAAACACAGCTGTGTCTCTGGAGGTGCTCAGGCTGTGTGGGCAGGGCTGGGTCCCCGGGTGTGACGCTGTCCCCTTGTGTCCCCAGGTACGCCCCGGAGTGTTTGCTGCAGAGCAAGTTCTACATCGCCTCCGACGTGTGGTCCTTCGGGGTGACGCTCTACGAGCTCCTCACCTACTGCGACTCCGAGTGCAGCCCCATGGCCGTGAGTGCCTGCTGGGGCAGAAACGCTCCCAGAGCTGCTCAGTCCCACCACTTCAAATAATGATTACTGCTTTTGGCAACAAGAGCTGCTTCAATCCCTTAATTTAAAATAATGATTACTGGTTTGGGCAACCAGAGCAGCAGAGAATTGTGGGCTCATTTGGGGCGGGAGGGACCTTAACACTCCTCTCCTTCCACCCCTTCCCTGGGGAGAACCTTCCTCCAGGATTATCCTGGGAAACGCCCAGGCTTGTCCTGGCAGTGGGGTCAGGCACTCCCAGCTGACCCCGCTGTCCCCACAGGAATTCCTGAAGATGATCGGCCCCACGCAGGGACAGATGACGGTGGCACGGCTGGTGAGGGTCCTGCAGGACGACAAGAGACTGCCACGGCCACCCACCTGTCCTGAGGAGGTGAGGGAGGGAGGGGGATGGAGGGATGGATGGATGATGGATGGATGGATGATGGATGGATGGATGGATGGATGGATGGATGATGGATGGATGGATGGATGATGGATGGATGGATGATGGATGGATGATGGATGGATGGATGGATGGATGGATGGATGGATGGATGATGGATGGATGGATGATGGATGGATGATGGATGGATGGATGGATGATGGATGGATGGATGGATGGATGGATGGATGGATGGATGATGGATGGATGGATGGATGGATGATGGATGGATGGATGGATGATGGATGGATGATGGATGGATGATGGAGGGATGGATGATGGAGGGATGGATGGATGATGGATGATGGATGGATGATGGATGATGGATGGATGGATGATGGATGGATGATGGATGGATGGATGGATGATGGATGGATGATGGATGGATGGATGGATGATGGATGGATGGATGGATGGATGATGGATGGATGGATGGATGATGGATGGATGGATGGATGGATGGATGGATGGATGATGGATGGATGGATGATGGATGGATGGATGGATGATGGATGGATGGATGATGGAGGGATGGATGGATGGATGGATGGATGGATGGATGGATGGATGGAGGGATGGAAGGAGGGATGGAAGGAGGGATGGAGGAAGGAAGGTCTGTCCGTCTGTCCGTGCTGGACACAGGTTCAGCCCCAGAGGGGTCACACTTCCCTGGCCACTGAGGTAGGAGAACCTTCAGGAGTGCTGGGAAAGTCACTGCTGAGGTTTTCAAGCATTGTTTTAAGGTGTTTTTGATATTAGCATTCCCAAGTCCGTGGTGTCCCTTCAGAGGGAGCAGGGACTTGCTGTAGTACCTGGATCCATGAAAATTCCTTGGGAATCCTTCCGGTTTTGACAATTCCTGGGGTGCAGCTCCCCAGGTGGGACTGCCCAAAGCCCCTGCTCAGGTCCCTGCTGACCCTGCCCAGCACCTGAGGTGTTTCTGCTCATTCAGGGAGATTTTGCTCCACTGTTTTCACTGGCAAACCCCAAGAAATGTTTGATGCCTTTAAAACTGTCCCTGGTTCTGTTGCCAGGTGGATCAGCTGATGAGGAAGTGCTGGATCTACAAACACGACGAGCGCACCACCTTCCACAACCTGATCCAAGGATTTGAAACAATTATGAGTAAAATGTAAATAATTTTTTTAATCCTGTCAGGACTTTAAATGCCCAGCAACCTCTCTATGCCCAAGGCTCTTACTTTTTTTTTTTTACTCCTGTAATTTGTACTCTGGCTGGGCTGATGTGGTTATAAAGGATTCTTTTGCCAACAGATTGAAGAGTTGGATTAAAAGAATTTAAAAAGTTTGGGCAAAATGAGCTCTAGCTCCCTTTGCTGCTGTTGTTGCAAGGCAGTTTTATCCTGCTCTGATTCTGGCTGTGCCACAATTGGAATTGCCCTGCTGGATGATGTGAGCTGGGAAAATCCACTGCATTTCTCAGCTCCAACCTCAGCCAGTGGCTCTAAAAGGGCTCAATTAATAATTATAAAGTTGGCTGACAAAATATCCTTCACATGCACTTAAATCCTAATAACAAACAAAACAACTTTGGCATAAAAATACAGGGGAAGTGAAATTTTCAGTTCTTTATAAACCCAGCAGGCCCCAGTCCTGAGCTCTTACAGGTATTTAAAAAAAAGTTTTCATAAAAACCACCCCAGCAGAGTGGAGGGGTGGGCACTGTTGTGCATTTCAGTGAGAAGCCCAATTTTGGGATAAATAATTTGCTTTTCCTAACTCCACTCCCACATTCTTCCCCCTGGAGCCCCCAGCCTGGGTGTAGGGTGAATGTGCATCCCTGGAGCTGAGGGAAGGAATTCCTGGAGCTGGGAAGGAACCCAGCCCATGCCCAGAACCTGGAGGGGATTATCCCAAAGGAAAAGGCCTGGGCACCCAGGATTGTCCCAAAGGAAAAGGCCTGGGCACCCAGGATTATCTAAAGGAAAAGGCCTGGGCACCCAGGATTATCCCAAAGGAAAAGCCCTGGGCACCCAGGATTGTCCCAAAGGAAAAGGCCTGGGCACCCAGGATTGTCCCAAAGGAAAAGGCCTGGGCACCCAGGATTACCCTAAAGGAAAAGGCCTGGGCACCCAGGATTGTCCCAAAGGAAAAGGCCTGGGCACCCAGGATTATCTAAAGGAAAAGCCCTGGGCACCCAGGATTATCTAAAGGAAAAGGCCTGGGCACCCAGGATTGTCCCAAAGGAAAAGCCCTGGGCACCCAGGATTATCCTAAAGGAAAAGGCCTGGGCACCCAGGATTATCTAAAGGAAAAGGCCTGGGCACCCAGGATTGTCCCAAAGGAAAAGGCCTGGGCACCCAGGATTATCTAAAGGAAAAGGCCTGGGCACCCAGGATTACCCTAAAGGAAAAGGCCTGGGCACCCAGGATTGTCCCAAAGGAAAAGCCCTGGGCACCCTGGGCTGTCCCAGGCACTGGGAACCCCTCCAATCATTTTTTTAAAGAACATTTTGACTCAGCCCATGAGTGATTTAACTGGAACCTTCTGCTGCCATCACGTTTCCTACCACACCTGGAGTTGGAAAATGCTCTGAAGAGATCCTCCAGTTTTGGCAATAACAGAAAGAGGTCTATATATATATAAATATATATATAAATATATATAAAAATGGTAATTATGAGCTCCAAGGAGGTCAGATTTATTTTTACAGTGTTATTGTTTCTGTATGTCACTTAGGAAGCTGAATTTAATCTGTAAGCACTTTGTTACTCTTTATACAAACAAGTCTAATAAATTTTTTTTTCTCCATGTGCCTCCCTTTTTAATTATAAATTAAACAGAGGAAAGTTTTTTAAATTGAATTTCCATGGGAATGGTGTTCTTTTAAAACCTTTTCCTACTTTACCTGATTAAAGGAGTCCAGGGCTGTTTTCCTCCCACAAAAAATCCACGTGAAGTAAGTACCAACAATTTATTTTCATTGAAAAGTGTAACAAGTTGAGAAAGTTGCATATACAAACAGTTGAAACAAAATATTACAAGTGAATTTATCAATACATACAGGCAGAATCCCAGAAAAGCTCCTGGCTCCTGTTTGTGGAGCACTTCCAGCAGCTGAGGGAAGAGGGAATTTGCTTGGGGTTTTTTTAAGCTTTGAAAATGTGGATCCTGGTCACATCCCAAAGCTTGAAAGGCAAAAGTTTAAGACTTTTAATTTAAAAAAATCAGTATTGAAAAATGGCTTCAGTGTTCTCTAGCAAAGAAAAGGGAGAAGGAGGTGGCTCCTGGCCCCAGTGACCCCGATCCAGATGGATTTGCAGCAGGATTCCATGGGATGGAATGAGGGCTGGCTCCTCATCTGCTGCCACTGAGGGCAAAAGGAAGGATTGCTGATCTCCAGCTCCAAGGGCAGAAGAGAACAGCTCGAGGCAGAGCTGATAAGAAGCTAAAAATACAAAAAGTCTTTAAAAGGAAAATACACTCAAAAGTGGGAAACAAGGTGGGGTGGCCCAGAAAGAGCTGTCCCACACCTGTGGAAGGAGGAGGCTGCCTCACACTGGGAATTAATTCCTCCAAGGGAAAGCTGTAAAAACAAAGATTTTCCACTGTCCAAGGAGCAGCTCTCCAAATCCCAGGGGATATTCCAAGGCACCCAGGACATCATCTCCCTTTGGACAGGCATTTATTGAGAACGTCAGCGAGGCTCTGGGAATCCATTTGGTATCGCTCCATTCCAGGATTAAGAAGAAATATTAAAAATTGAAAGGCTGTAAATGCAGAGCTCTTAATCCTGGAAAAAGGAAAGTTGGAAAAAAAAACCCCCCATTCTGAGTTTAAAAAATACAAAATAATTACTATCAAGACTTCCTCTTTTAACTTCCTCAGGCTGAGGACTGGAGAAAGGATCAGCTCTTTCCTCTGGGTTTTTATTGCTTTCAGCTGGAGCTGCCCCAGCTCCCCACGTCCTGCGCTCTGTCCCACAGGTGACAAAGCCAACGCTGTCCCCTCCTGTCCAAGCGAGAGCAGCCACCGCCTGTGTCACCTCTGTGCTTGCAGTGGCCGCCCGGGGACACTCACCCCGCTCAGCAGGAGCTCCTGGAGGGGAGGTAAGGCAGCAGTACCTGCAGAGGGGTCCCAGCTGCCCGGGCAGCCCGAGCTCAGTACACGCGCTTCTTCTTCAGCGAGGACTCCGCGAAGCGAGCGGGGCCCGGCAGCTCCGCGGGGCCGGGCTCGGGGCACGACACCAGGAACGAGGAGCTGCGCTTGGGGGCCACCTGCGGGCGACAACGGCGCTGTCACTGCGCACCGGCTGCCATTCTAGCGTTGAACTTCAACATTTATCAGCGTCAGAACCCGGGAAATCCCTCTGGCTGCTCTGGAAATCCCAGGAAACCCAGGAAATCCCTGGAGGGCTCCAGCCCCTGCCCGGGGGGCTCAGAGACCTCAGCACAGAGTCCAAGACCCCGTGCCTTTGATTTAGCCCTTGGAAAAACAATTATGAAGAATTACAAGTCAAGAAAGACTTGTTAAGAGTGGAATGATAAAGTTAAGTAGAATGATAGTGAAGTTATCACAGGGTGAAAAAGAGATTTCTTGGGGTTTTTAAAATGGGGGTTCAAAAGGCAAGAAGAAGAATCTGTGTCCAGCCTTTCTCCTTCTTCTTCTTCTTGGCCTCCATCCTCTGCTGTGATGGTGGCACTTTGGGATTGGTTTAGAGTAGAAGCTCACTGTCTATCATAGGTGATAGGTATTGGAAAGTAATTGTAAATATTTTATACGTAGGTTTTAGTATAAAAAGATAACACCACCCCAGAGCAGGCAGAGTGTGTCTGTCTGTCCTGCTGAGCAGACCTTGGCTGGACAGGAGAAAGAAACAATTATTTTATAGATAAGGAACAATAAACAACCTTGAGACCGAGAACAGAAGAGCTCTGACTCCTTCTTTGACCACTGGCCTGGGAGAAGAGACTTTCTATAACACATCTCAGAGTCACTCTGAGCAGCAGAGATCCTGAGATATTAGTTTTTATTTATGTTCTAGTTTTACATTATAATTTATGTTGTTTGTATGTTATAGTTGTGAGTTTTGTAGTACTTTATTTCAATAAACTAAAAATGGAGTTGTTTTTGTTTCTTTATAAGATTTTTTAAGGATTAACTAAGAAATGATACTTAAATTATTTTTAACTTAATAACTAACTACTTGTGGCTTGAAATTTGGACTTTTTTATCTATACTATTTATACTATTATTTATACTATTATTATACTATTTAAACTTATGAAGGAGTAGTTATCATTCTAAAACTTTCAATTTATCCTGTGGTTTTTGATTTGCTTCCCAGGCAATTTTGAGCTGCTCTTTGCACTTCAGGGATCCTATCCCAGTGCAAACCATCTGCAAGTCAGGCAAACCCCCATTTCAATCCAGTGCCAACCTCCTCCTCCTCCTCTCTTCCTACTTTATTTGCCACCAAAACCCCAGCCCTGCTCTGCCCGTGGCTTTTGGGGCACTGGGAGGAGCTGACCCCAGGCTCTGCAGGGCTCGGGGCTGGCCCAAGCTGTTCTCCCATTGCGGGAACTGTGTGGAGCAGGGATGCAGAGGGAAGGCTCCACCCGGGGGCAGCAGCAGGCAGGAGAAGCGGCTGCAGGCGCTGCTCCTCCTGCTCCTCTCACCTGCTTTAAGGGATTGGCTGGAGGAGGCTGCAAGCCCGCCTGGGCTCCCGGGGCTCCGCTCAAAAAGGAAGGCACCACCTGCAGGCAGGTGCTGTAGTTTGGGAAAGATCCACCTGCAGGTTCCTGAATCCAGACAGGGATCCATGAAGTACAAGGAAAAAAAGTTTAATGATTCTTTTTTTTTCCTGCTACCGTGATGAGCTCTCAGCAGGTAAGGAAATAGCTCAGTCACAGGTGCAATTCACAGCAGCTCGGGGGTGCAGCAATTCCTGGAGCAAAATGTGGGCTTTGGATGATGCTTTAATTTGTGTCATTCCTTTCTAAAGTGTCTTTCTTTCTCCTTGCTCACAAAACCCTCAGCTTGGGCAAGAACCAGCCCTTCAATGTGGGAGATTCAGCACTGGGAAATGCCATCAATGGAGTGCTGTTCCTGGTGGGAGTGTTTTAACCCACTGCTGAGCATTCCAGGTGCTTTTGGGTGGTGGGATTTTAGAGAGGGGAGTTTTGGGTGTGACTCTGGGGGTGCTGCCCTGCAGCAGTGCCCATGCAGTGCCCTCTGCAGCCCCTCATTCCTGTGCCAACACACAAAGCAGGTGTCCAAAAGCTGATGGGAGCAACAGCCAGTGGAGACAGCAAGAAAATGAAATTATTTCTCACCTCAGAGGCTTCATTTTCCAAGCCATTCACTCTGGCCTGGGTAGAGTGATGTGCCTGAGCATAATGCTGGTACCACTGCTGGACAGCCTCCTAGAGAGGAGCAGAAACCCTCTCCCATGCCTGCCTACAGTCCTTACAGCCCAGAGCTCTCCCAGAAGCACCAAAACATCTTCAGCACCAGTAGATCAAGCAGTTAAATTATGGTAATTGCTTAAAACACACAGGAGGCACCTCTGGCCTGGCAGAGAGGCAGGGACAACAATTCCTGTTATGGGAACACCTCCAGGGATGGGAGCTGCTCTGTGCACCCCCACCCTGCCAGGAACAATTCCCAATTCCCAATGTCCCATCCATCCCTGCCACTGGCACTGGGAGCCATTCCTGTGTCCTGTCCCTCCATCCTTGTCCCCAGTCCCTCTCAGCTCTCCTGGAGCCCCTTTAGCAGCAGGTCTGATCCAAGGCTGTGTGGCCCCTGGCAAAGTGACCCTGTTGTAGGGTGCAGTGACCCTGTCCCCCACCCTGTGGCCAGGCTGCTCTCTGTATTTCAGAGATCCCTTCTCACCCCAAACCCTGGCTGCCAGGAGTGTGGGCTCTCTGCTGTCCCTGCCAGCAGCCCAGGACAGTCTGTGTCCCCCTGGGGAGGGAGGAGGCAGCTCTCAGCTCTGACCACAGCCACAGTTTCACACACTCAGGATGGTTAATGCAAATCTGGGGGTGTTCTTTCTCTGCCAGTGTCCTGTGGAACTGGCTCTGAGCACTGAGCACTCTGCAGGGCCTGCAGCTCCTGGCCAGGCTCTGATCTGCACATGGGGAGCACATCCTGTGCCTCAGAGCAGCTGGCAAACATCCCCAAGTGTGCAGCAACTGCAGCTCCCTGCCTGGATCCAGCCAAAGCTCAGGACTTAAAAACTTCTGGGGAAGGCAAAGAGAAAAACCCCTGGTTTTGAAGGCAGACAAAAGCCAAGGCAGAGTGCTGAGCAGTCACTTCTAGTGAGTGCCCACAGTTCAGGCCCTCAAGAAACGATTTTTTCAAGGGTTGTGCTTTCAGCAGGGAATGTTCTTTGTGCTAAATCTGCTCTGGACACTGAAATGATCAGATAAAGTGTCAGAGCAGAGGCTCAGGAAGAACAGCCAGAGAAAACAAGGAGCAGCTCTGGGAGGACCCTGAGCTCTGGGATTGTTCCTACCTGTGGGTACTCCCCAGGCTGCTGGGAATAACTGAAATAGTTTTCCATTGCATGTTGTGCTGCAGTTCCCTGAGACACAGCAGCATCCACGACACTGTTTGCAAGGCTGGTCTGCTGTGGAGGACTGGAGGCTTTGCTGGCAATTGCTGCTGGGAACACAAAAACAGAGCTTGGATCAACACCTGGCTTGTAAAAACACTAATTAGGTTCTATTCCAGGATTAAAACTGAGATTTGTGCCCCAAATCATCAGTGCTACTAATAACTGAAAGGCTTCTAGAAGTCTGTGAGCCTCTGCAAATGCACCCCTGTTTAACCATCAGGATAAATGACTTTGCAGTTCTGAGACACACTACAAGATTCCCTTGAGGATAAATGCTGTGGGCACTGGATTTACCAGGCAAGCAGGAGAAATGTTTGCCATGCTCTGGCTGTGGAAATGTGCAATGAAATCCATGGAATGTTTGCTTACCTGGCAGACAGATGCCAGGCAAAACACTTGCCAAATTCAAGTAGGGGTTGGTGCTCAGGCGGATTTCTTTTGGGGGCTCCCCAAGCAGAGAAGTCTGTTTCTTCAAGGGAGTCTGAAAAGTGGACAGTTTGCATTAAATTCATATAAAATTGGTCAGAAATAAAGTTCAGTGGCCTAGCAGGGTCTTGGGAAAAGCTTAGTCCTATGAAAAAACCCGTTTGAAATAAAATTAAACTTTTGAAGTCAATCCTTCACAAGTTCCATTTTATTTCAGCAATCTGGACACATTGCCTACACTTTTTTCTTCCAAATAGTTTTTGTAGGAATGTTTCTCTTCAGACTGCAAGTTCCTAAAGGATATTACAAAACAAACAAACAAAAGAAAACCTTTTATATGCAAGTGAAGCAATAATAATCACTCGAGCAATTCCAAATGCAGGGAGTGAACATTAAGTACAAGGCCAAGACAAAATCAACTCTTTTCACTTGGAGACACAAGGAAATAAAGGCCAAATGTCAGGACAATCATGAATTAAGCCCATTTTTCCCCAAAAGTTGAAGTATATTAAAATTATTATTTATTATTTTATAATAATATATACTATATATAATTATTATTATAAATTATTTTATATTTATATGTAAAAAAGGTAAGTTTTCTTAAGGTCAGAAAAAATTCTGAAAGACTGAGACCACTTAAATCCCATTCCATCATCCTCTCACACCTCACCTTCAAGGGAATAAATAATGTTTTTAAAAAATGGTAATTAAAAGTGGAAAATTTATATACGCGTACACAAGCATCTGGAAACCCCCCAAGCCCCCCAACCACCAGAACTGCTCCTGATGAATCACGAAATTCGAGCCCAAGTTCAATGTTTGCCCTTGGGAGGAGACAGTGCCCTGAGATAAATGTTCAATTCCATGATCCAGCCCTGTGAGGCAGACACGTGGGATGAGCCCTCAGCACTGAGGAGCTGCTTTGTTCCTTCAGCTGCACCACCAAGGACAGAGAGCATTGTTCTGTCCCCATCCCCACCAGTGCTGAGAGCTCCACGTGGCCCCAGGACGCTCCTGGGAGCAAGGGAATCGTACAGGGGGGACACAGGAGGGGTTAAAATAAAGGGAATCGTACAGGGGGGACACAGGAGGGGTTAAAATAAAGGGAATCGTACAGGGGGGACACAGGAGGGGTTAAAATAAAGGGAATCGTACAGGGGGGACACAGGAGGGGTTAAAATAAAGGGAATTGTACAGGGGAGACACAGGAGGGGTTAAAATAAAGGGAATTGTACAGGGGGGACACAGGAGGGGTTAAAATAAAGGGAATTGTACAGGGAGGACACAGGAGGGGTTAAAATAAAGGGAATTGTAAAGGGGGGACACAGGAGGGGTTAAAATAAAGGGAATTGTACACGGAGGGATACAAGAGGGGTTAAAATAAAGGGAACTGTACAGGGGGGACACAGGAGGGGTTAAAGGAAAGGAGGAGGAAGGAGAAGGGAAGGGGAGAGAAGGAGGGAAAGGGAAGGGAAGGGGAAGGGAAAGGGAGGGAAGGGAAGGTTCCGGGAAGGTTCCGGGAAGGTTCGGAAAGGAAAGGTTCGGAAAGGAAAGGAAAGGTTCGGAAAGGAAAGGTTCGGAAAGGAAAGGAAAGGAAAGGTTCAGAAAGGAAAGGAAAGGAAAGGAAAGGAAAAGGGAAAGGGAAAGGGAAAGGGAAGGGAAGGGGACAGTGTGAGTGCAGCACGCCCTTACCCCGGTGCCGGGCTCGCAGCCCTTGCCCTGCCCCGCAGCCGTGGCGGTTCCGGCCCGCAGCGCCCCGGGCAGGCCGGGCAGGCCCGCAGCGAAGGGCGGAGCTGCCTCCCCTTTGTCCGCAGCGGCGGCGTTGGGCCCGGGCAGGGCCTGTCCGACCATGTGCTGGTTCGGGAAGAATGGCAGCATGCCCATCCCCGCTGCTGCTGCTGGAATGGGAGCTGGGTTAGATGCTGCAGGCAGCCATAAATGGAGAAACTTTGCTGTTACATGGGATTTATTACACAGGGTTTGCTGTGGGGTTAATGAGGGTGGAGGAGAACAATTCCAGATCTACTGCACTGCTTTTTGTTCCTTCCCCATCCCACAGGCAAACAGCTCCATTTCAAGCTGATTCAATAAAACCCTGACTTTTCTAAACATTCCCTGTGATAACTTTCTCAGAGCTTCCTGGCATTTTCAAAGAAAAACTGGGAACAACATCCTGGAGGATGCTAGATGGGAGCACAGGGGGAAACCCCACCTCAGCTGGCATTGGGAAGAATTTCTTTCACTGAAAACTGGCAAGTGTTCTCCAAAAGGACAATCTGGGTATTTGGAGGAGCTTTCTGCCCTCCCTGGATGCCTTTTCCCTGCTCCTGGAACTGCCATGGATCAGAGCAGGGCCAGGATTGCAGAGCACAGGGAGCAGTGGAGGAAACAAGAGCAGAAAATCCTGCAATGGTTTGGGCTGGAGGGACCTTAAGGATCATCCATTGCCATGGCAGGGACACCTCCCACTGTCCCAGGGTGTCCAGCCTGGCCTGGGACACTGCAGGGATCCAGGGGCAGCCACAGCTGCTCTGGGAATTCTATTCCTCCCTCTCAATCACAAATTCCTTCCCAATGTCCCATCTAAATCCCCCCTTTTCCAGCTTAAATCCATTCCCTGTGCCCTGTCCCTCCATCCTTGTCCCCAGTCCCTCTGCAGCTCTCCTGGAGCCCCTTCAGGCCCTGCCAGGGGCTCTGAGCTCTCCCTGGATCCTTCTCCTCTCCAGGTGAGCACCCCCAGTATCCAACTGATCCTTCCTCATAAATACTGAGGGCATCAGTGGCACAGAAATTTGCATTCCAAATTGACACCTGTCACAGACTGGCTGCTAAAACTCATTTCGTAATAAAATGAAGGCAAAGAGCAAATTTGTGGTGCCTCTTCAGCAACTCCCATTTACCTGCTTTGAAAAACCCCACAAAATGTCATCTCTAAATAAAAGCACATTCCAAGTGTACCAAACAAGGAATAACTGAGCCAGCAGAGTATTTAACCAGCTGCTTTTGTTACACAGGGAGAAATCCAGGTGCAGAATGTGAGGCTGGGCATTTCTAGTGGTGTGGGATGAAATGAAATGTCATTTACACTTGAGAGCTTCTCCTCGTGCTGCCAGGCCTGAGTTGACTGCTGGCATCACCCCTATGCCCAGCACTGTCTGCAGCAGCATTGCTGGAGGCTCTCCCAGCAAACCTGGCTTCTAAAAGGAAGAAGAGAAAACTGTGTAAATCATTAAAATTATCTGCTCACAGCTACTTTTTACAACTTCCACACTCTCAACCTCTTCAGCTGCACTGAAGGATCACAGAACGTGGATGGGTTGGGTTGGAAGGGAACTTTAGGATCACAGGCACCTGATGCTATAAATGATTTATTTTAGGGATGATGAGGGAGAGGCAGAGCTGCAGGGATGGCCTTACACTGTTTGCCTGCATGTTCTCCATCTTCAGCAGCTGCTGCTGGGGCAGGGGCAGGTGAGCAGGGCTCTGCAGCAGCAGGCTGGACGTGCTCCCCAGCAGTGAGCTCTGACAAAGGAGTAAAACAAGGGTTAGCTGCCAGCCACAGAAACATTTCACACAGCCCTGCTTGAAGAAATTAAACATTTTGAGTTAAGGGAAATAATTTCCTCCACAGAACTCATTTTGCTTCGGCCAAATACCCAGATATGTTTCCACCCCACAACAATCTACATGAAATCCTACCCCAGAGGCATTAAAACCTGACAAATCACAGTGCCTGCACATTGGCAAGTCTATAAAATATTCACATTGCTCATTCAGAATATTCTGGATCAGTTTGCCACCAGAACTGAGCCACTGAATGAATAACTTTGGGGCACCCTCTCCTGACTCTGCCACTGGTATATTCAACATTGTGAGCTCTGGCCAGCTCTGAGGCTTAAAATAAACCTTAAAAGACACCATGATTTATGCTACAGGTCTGGAAGTGCCTGGCAGCATCATCTGCCAGTAAAATGCAGGTTATTCTATAGGTTGTTGTACTAAAATAAACAGACAGGACACTGTGATCATGCCAAGTTCACCCTTTATTGTTTTTATCACCAAACCCAGGGGATGAAGAGTGAAAAACATCTCCCAAATATTTCCAAGCCCTGGCTGTGTCATGGTGGCAGGCTTAAATTCCTTAGAGAAAAAACCCTTCATGACTGAAATATGATCTTCTGGACTAAAGTATGATTTTCTGGGCTCAGAAATGTGGTTTTCCAAACAAAGATGGGCCATATCTAGATCAGTTATGCATCTATTTGCATAGATTGTCTCAGTGATTTCCAGGAGAGATTTTGCAGGGCTGGTTATTGTCACCAGTGCCAGGGGCTGCTCGTTCTGAACTTGGCTCCAGCAACAAAGCAAAGTGGTTCAATTGCAAAACTTTCGGAAATAAAAGAGTGGAAAAATCAGTTTGGTCAGAATCCTCAGGGGAAAGGCTCTGGATTAATCAAGATTTAACAAATTGCTGGATGTCTGAGGAAAACACCCCTGAGAAAGCTGAAAATGCATTATTTTGGAGCAGGATAACTTATAAATAAGAGAAATTAAGAGAAAGATGTTGAAATTAAGGCTACCTCAAGTTGCACAATTACTGGGTGAATAACCTTCAAATCCTCTCCGTTGAACCCTTTTTAAATGATTATTTTAAAATATTTATTCTCATTCTGTTACTTCACAAAGCCCTGAATATAAAAGAGAAACCTGAGACATGCAGGGAGCTAAACCAGCGTGACTGGGGAAGGGTTTCAGTGACAACACTGAATTTCAAAATAAATAAATAAACAAATAAACAAACAAATAAATAAAACAGTGATCTGCTCCGCTGGCTTTAGAGAACACCCCAAAACAAACCACCCAAGAAGAGAAAAATGTGCCTTAGAGAAGAAATTGGGATCATCAAATCCTTCTAAAATTCAGGTGTGGAGCTCATTAAATGACAGGAAGCTCCCAGGAAGGGAAGGAGATGAAACTTTTAAATCTCTGGACAGAGAAAACACTGAGTTGTTTGGCTGCAGCTCTCCCAAGGCAAAAACCACTGGAAAAACCTTTGGATCATCATCAATCCCACTGTTAATTGTGGAAAACATCCCTGGCTCCAGCTGGGAGCACCAAACACTCCCAGAGCCTCCCAAGGAAGCACAGGCTGCAGAGAGAGCAGCAGGAACTTCAACAGACCAACTGAAAATGTAATTTCAGTTTAAAAAAAACCCCAAAGAATTATGTATATTTTATATAGGGCAAAAATAAGCAGAATTTATTTAATTTAATATATTAACCCACCAGTTTTTAGAGGAAAAACAGAAGAGCTCAATATACATAACATAGGGAATATTCCTGCATTTTAGTTGGGTCATTTTAAAGATCTCTAGGCCTGTGTTTGCCAAAAGAACTGCAGAAATAATTGATGCTGAAGGGATTTTATTTTTAAAATGGAAATTTCTGAAATATCAGAAATAATAAGGCCAAGTGATGGACTCCAGTCCCTTGTAGGTATTTGTGTAAATCCCAACCATGAATATTAAATTCAATTTTTGGCCCCTGAGAGCAGCTCAGCTCAAGGCAGAAATTCTGGCTGTGGGTGCATTTTCCCTCTCTCAGTTTCTAGCACAAACCCATCCCAAAGATCCTTCCCATTTTCTCTCAGGAATTCTGGTGCCCATCTGGAATTACAGGAGAACTTGGGGGGTTTATCAGTAAGAAGTAACATCAACAAATCTCTATTTTTCTATGGCACATGCAGCACATTTGGGTCCCTGCAAACTTGAAAATGAAGCCAAGGCTGTTGAACTCATTGGTTTGAATCAGATAAACCATAAAGTCTCTTCTGGAGTGTGGATGGGCTGCTCCAAAGGAAAGGGATGTGCCAGGCCCCTTGAGAGCTCTTTAAAGAGGGTTTTTCTGCCAGTAATGACAAGTTTTGTCTACACTGGCAGGTTTTAAGTCCAAAATTTAGATAAAATAACTCCATTCTGGACAGTTAGCACTGCCTGCTTCCCCATCTCATAACTTTCCTTAGAGCTCCAACAAGAACACAATTTTAGCTTTAAATTCCATAAAATTTTAGAATCTCTCCCCAGATACCTTTTTTGATGACAGGTTTTTTGTCACCTACCTGATGAACTTTATTCAACTGCAAAAACGGTGGCCCAACTGCTGAATTTATGAGGTGAGGTAAGCCTGCAGATGCTCCAAGAACTGCTTAAGAAACACACAAGAAATTAGTGAATTTTACAAATTAGGCAAGTAAAAGTCTTTAGAACTATCCTGTAGTTTTTAATTTGCTTTCCAGAGAATTTCCAAGTGTACAAAGGTCACTGCAAGGGAATGAGGGACTGGTTTAGGTTGGGAAAGGTTATGAAACCTTTTGATGTACAATTACAGAATGTGAGAGCTCCTCCACACCTGAGAGTTTCACTGCTGAGCTGATTGCAGGCTCAGCTTTATCTGAAGTACTTTAAATTCAGATTTAGCTGGAGTGTTTCTGCCCTGAAGTGGTCACTTCACACCCATTTCTGGGTTTCTTTGTAGCCACACTCTGAGCTCTCCCCATCACCTGTTTCTGTTCTGAGCACTTTCACCGTTTGAACTGTGATTAATTAGGGTTTATGTTTATTCACATCCTAATTAGAACACAGAAACGTTTCTGGCTGATGCTGTAATAAATACTCTGCACAGCTGTGGCAGCAGCCAGAAGAATAAAGATTTACATTGGCAACAGGAGAAAGACTCAGGCTGCAAAATTCAGATCTAAAATCAGATTTAAGTTTAACCAAGCCTTGTAAAAGACATTTCTTTCTAAACCCATTTGTAATATGAGTATTCAGAGCCCACAGAGTTCATACAAGGGTATTTGTAGGAATACTGAATTTTCCCCACACACACGAGTGTAGCAAAGCACCCCTTGCTTTTGCTTTCATGAAAGGTGAAATTACCTGCACAATCACACTGAAACACTGTCTGCACAGATTTTAAATATTATTTCTACTTAATTACCCTGCAAGAGCCTTGCAGCACTGAGAGCAGGGTTTGGTTTTGCATTATTTCAGAGCATCTTACCAGGTTTAACAGCGTGGCCACGCAGCTGGGGCTGCAGCAGCATCTGCAGCATTGCTGGATTATTAAAACTTTTCATGATCTGCACTGGATTTGGCTCTGGAAGCAAACCTTTCCTATTGTTCCTCATCTGCAATGAAGAGAGAAAAAGTGTTAGAAGCAAGAAAAAACAATGAATACATTTCAAACTCCAATGGCAATGTACACATTTCATCTGACACAGAAAAACCCCATTTCCTTCCCTGTTTCCTGCTTTTTTCCCCTCAAATGAAACACCTAACAAACGATCCCAACAAAATTTCAAGCACATTTCTTTTTTTCCTTTAACCCCAGAGTTATCAGAACAGGAGAATAAGGAATGTTGCCATGAGTACCATATCATCTCACAGAGCTGTGGCCTGAGCAGGCTGAGGAGAGGGAACTCTGCTGCCTCTCCATGTAACACTGATCACATCCAATTTTCTAGGAAATAATGTGATAAGACATGTGGGTGTAAAGAGCTTTCTTCTACCTCGAGCATGAAATGAACCTATTTCTCCTGCCTCGAAATTTATCTTAAAGCTGACAAATTTCTGCCTCTGTGTTTGAAACCAAGTTTTAGCTCGTCCAATGACTCATTCCCAGTCACTTTTGTTTTGAGCTGGGAAGATTTCTCTTAGAGGAGATTACATTTAATAAATCCCAGAGCTATGTGGGTGCAATTTTGTGGGATTTTATGGATATTTATTAATCTTCTTCCTGGCCATCTTTGCTTGGGAAGGAGGCTGAACTGGGCTGATTATATGGAATTCCAGACTGGTTTGGGTTGGTGACAGCCCTTTACCATGGGCAGGCCTCCAACAGCACTGACCCATGGAATCACAGAATTCCAGACTGGTTTGGATTGGTTAAAGCCCTTTACCATGGGCAGGGACCCAACAGCACTGACCCATGGAATCACAGAATTCCAGACTGGTTTGGGTTGGTTCAAGCCCTTTACCATGGGCAGGAAGCGCTGACTTTACAGAATCATAGAATTCCAGAATGGTTTGGGTTGGTTAAAGCCCTTTACCTTGGACAGGGATCCAACAGCACTGACTCCATGGAATCACAGAATTCCAGACTGGTTTGGATTGGTTCAAGCCCTTTACCATGGGCAGGGACCCAACAGCACTGACCCATGGAATCACAGAATTCCAGACTGGTTTGGGTTGGTTCAAGCCCTTTACCATGGGCAGGAAGCGCTGACTTTACAGAATCACAGAATTCCAGAATGGTTTGGGTTGGTTAAAGCCCTTTACCATGGGCAGGGATCCAACAGTGCTGACCCCATGGAATCACAGAATTCCAGACTGGTTTGGATTGGTTCAAGCCCTTTACCATGGGCAGGGATCCAACAGTGCTGACCCCATGGAATCACAGAATTCCAGACTGGTTTGGATTGGTTAAAGCCCTTTACCATGGGCAGGGCTCCAACAGTGCTGACCCCATGGAATTCCAGACTGGTTTGGCTTGGGAAGGATCCCATTCCATCCTGCCATGGCAGGGACACCTCCCACTGTCCCAGGTGTTCCAAGCTGGCTTTGATAAACCCAAAACGCTCCCCAGGCCCGGCTCCTTCTCCCAGCTCAGGCATGAGGAGCCCATCCCAAATATCCTCCCAGGGATCTCACCATCCTCTGTGCTGCTATCAGGGCTGCCAGGGTGCTCCTGCCCGGGGCTCCAGGGGCACAGAAGGACACCTGGAGCCTCCTGCCATGGATGGTGGCCCCGTCCATGGCGCCCCGCACGCTCTCCGCCTGCTCCGCGCTCTCGTACTCCAGCACCGCAAAGTCCCCGCTGCCGCCGTCCTCGTCCTGGGCAAACTGCAAGGGAACAGCTCAGGAGCCAGGCAATGGGAATTGCAGGAGTAAAGCAGCTCCAGAGCCCATGGAAAATGGGAATTCCAGGAGTAAAACAGCTCCAGAGGCAGGGAATGGAAATTCCTGCAATAGAACAGCTCCCAGACCAGGGAAATGGGAATTCCAGCAATGGAACAGCTCCAGAGCCAGGGAAATGGGAATTGCAGCAATGGAACAGCTCCAGAGCCAGGGAATGGGAATTCCAGGAGTAAAACAGCTCCAGAGCCCATGGAAAATGGGAATTCCAACAATGAAACAGCTCCAGAGCCAGGGAATGGGAATTCCAGCAAGGGAACAGCTCCAGAGTCAGGGAATGGGAATTCCAGGAGTAAAACAGCTCCAGAGCCAGGGAATGGGAATTCCAGGAGTAAAACAGCTCCAAATCCCAGGGAAATGGGAATTCCAGTTAAGGAATAGCTCCAGAGCCAGGGAAATGGGAACTGCAGCAAAGGAACAGCTCCAGAGGCAGGGGAAGGGGAATTGCAGCAATGGAACAGCTCCAGATCCCAGGGAAATGGGAATTTCAGCAATGGAATAACTCCAGGGGATGGGAATTCCAGCAATAAAAACAGCTCCAGCACCCAGGGAAATGGCAAGTCCAGCAATAACAGGTCCTAGCACTCCATGGAAAATGGGAATTCCAGCAATAACAGCTCCAGAGCCCATGGAAAATGGGAATTCCAGCAGTAACAGCTCCCAGACCCCCATGCAAAATGGGAATTCCAGGAGTAAAACAGCTCCAGAGCCAGGGAAACGGGAATTCAGCAACAACAAGAGTTGCCAGCACCCCATGGAAAATGGGAATTCCAGCAGCTGCCCCGCAATATTGCACCTGTCCCTTGCAAGATCCTGCACAGCTGACAGAACCAAGGTTGGTATTTCCCCCAAATCAAGAGGTTCTTTCTGTAAACACTGGAAAGAAGTTGGAAATCACATCTTTATCTATTTGACACTCATGTTTACAGACTCGTGGTTATCTCTTCATGTTATCTGCTCATCCCTTCCATTATCTCCTCCATTCCCACCTCCACTTCCATCCCACCTCAGCCATGGAATGCATTTATCACACACTCAAACAACAAAGCAGCAATGAGAAGCAAACTGTAAATACAGCTGGATGCTACAGCCAGTTTTGTTTTGCAGGATAATTATAAACTCGTTCTTCTTCATTTTTCTCAGGCTGCCATATTCCAAGTGCTGCTCACCAGGGTGCACGACAGCTGCTGAAACATGCAACAATGCAAATTCCAGCAGGATCTGGTGCCTTTTGGGAGCAGGGGAAGGCTGTGCCTGTGGGGAATGCCAAGAGAAGATGCCAGACTGATCAATCAAGCAGACTGGAAAAGGGCTTACGTGGCAAACACTGCCCTGGCCTTTGTGTGCAGACTTTGGGAGAGAATGAGCAGATTTAAATCAAACAAAAAAACAGGCTGGGAAGGGAGGGATGAAGCTTAGGCAAAAATCTCCAGTCCCCAGATGAATGGGGATGATAAACTGACACCAGCTCTGGTGTGGAAGAGACAAAACCTCCTCCAGATTGCACTGGATAAAAACAAGCTCAGCCCCACAAACCTCCCCTGACAACTGAAATATAAATGTCAGAGATCTGGAAGAAAAAGAGGGTGGTCAGATATTTACTGCCTGGCCTCTGGGCACAGCTCTGCAGAACAGATATTTCATACATAAATACATTTTATATTCTATATTTATATTTTATTTTGATACCAGTTTGGGTGCACTGGCAAAGACCTGAGGTACTGCTGAAAAGAAGGGATTGAAGCTATGGAACATTTGTATTTTAGTTTCAGCTGCAATGAAACACAGTTCAAAACTCCCCTAACGTGTCCCAAGTGCAGCCACCAATATTCCTGTAAGGATTCAGGAACTTTTCAAGTTCCCAAGTAAACAGCTACTGAAAAAAGCTCTTTATTCCTATCCAGATCAGGCTGGAGAGCTTTTAGTGACAATTTAAAGTTGACAGAAGAAAAGAATGAGGTTTTCTGGTCCATTTTGTTGAAACAAAGGACAAAACACATTTTTTCCCAATATCCATGTGCAAGTATTTATCTTCAGCTCCTCCTGACAGAATATTTCTGTTGTCAGTAGAGGAGAAATCAAAATGATTTTTTTTAAAAAAAAGTAACTCTAGAATAAGATGAAAAGACCCAGAGTTTATTTCATGAGTTCAGGTAAGAATTTTGGGCAAAGGATTGTGATGAAATACTGCATGAGCTCCCAGCAGAACTAAGGCATGGCAGCACCACAAGAGCTGCATTAAAGTTTTCCAGAAAAAAAAATCAAAACTTTTCTCAGTCATTCTCTATAGAAATTCCCCCCCCACACTGAGGTTTCTGCTTCCCTGTTCTCTCAGTTTTTCTGTCTCTTCCCACCCCATCACATCCCCCCTCTTTGCTTTTTCCACCTTTTCTTGGCTCTTCCTCCTCCTCCTTTCTTTGTCCTCAATTTTCAGGGTGTCTCACTCATAAACCCCTAATTAATTAGCATCCATTCTCTTCCCTTTTTCACCTATCAAATCTGAACTATTTCTTTTCCTGCCTCCACCCTCCTGTATTTTATAGGAACTGACCTAATGCAGACACTCTCCTCGCCCACACCAAGTATTACCCAAGATTTATTATTATTTAAAAGGTAAAAAGTCAATTTTTGAGTGCTTCCAACTGCCAGTCAGTGAAACCCATCTTTCTCCAAGAAGTCTGTTATTCTTTGAAGCTCAGAATTTTTAAAGGATGGTGAAAAATTGTTGGGGGAGCTGATAACAACCCCAGATTATCTGACAGCTGGGGAAAAAAGCCCTGAAGGAAAAGACTTTAAAGGATCAATCTGTTGAGCTAATGAAACAAAGATTGAGCAGGAGACCTGAGTCCAGCATTTAATACCTTCTTACAGGAGGAAAATAATAGGGAGCAAAAGCTCCTTAGTGCAGGCATCAGTGAGGTGAGGCTGAAGGCAGACACATTCCCAGGCTCCAGACCAGAACAGGCAGGAATGGGCAGAGTTAATTCCAGTTTATTCATCTCCTGGTGGATCTGGTGTAAGGATTTCCTGTGGCCAGGTACAGATTGCTGGGGCTGGAAATGAGCCCTAAGGAGGGGAAAGCCTGCAGGAGGTCAGGCTGCAGATCCTGAGGGATTTCTGCTCCCTGGGCTGGGAATCTCTGGGTGCTCACCCCTCAGGCTGAGCCCTGAGCAGCCTTAAAGAGACTCAAGGGACAAAACCAACACAAAATCAGCCCTGCCACTGAAATCTGTGTGACTACAAGGAAAGGTTTCCTTCTAGTGCTTGTTTATGATGGTCTGTCTGTGCCACTTTGATTTGTGGCCTCATCTCACAAGCCACAGGGACGAGAGGAAACCTCTGCACTAAAAAGGCAAGGATCTTGCAAGGATCTTCCCAAGGATCTTGGGAACCACCACTTCTGTGCTTCCCAGCTTTCCAAAGGATGTGGCACTTCTATCCCTGGCAACAGGCAAGAACCCAAGCCTTCCTCAGTTAGGGAAAATCAAGTTAAATACTAATATATTAATTATATGATGTATTTTGCATCATCTGAACTGTTGCACTTGTGGTATCCATACACTCTGGCTGTCTTTGAGCAATAAAACCTTCAGCAGTATTTACTTCAAAAGCTCTCAAAGATCAAACTATTTTCAATAAATGATATAGAGGGATGTCCTCCAAACATTCTGCTGGTATTTCACTGGAGTGCTATCCTGCAGAATTCCCAGAATTCCCAGAGAACATGGATCACAGTGCTCACCCAGAGCAGTTCAGCATCACTGCTGGGGTGATATCCTGCAGAATTCCCAGAGAACATGGATCACAGTGCTCACCCAGAGCAGTTCAGCATCACTGCTGGGGTGATATCCTGCAGAATTCCCAGAGAACATGGATCACAGTGCTCACCCAGAGCAGTTCAGCATCACTGCTGGGGTGATATCCTGCAGAAATCCCAGAATTCCCAGAGAACATGGATACACTACACATCCAGAGTACTTCAGCACCACTGCTGGAATGCTATCCTGCAGAATTCCCAGAGAACATGGATCACAGTGCTCACCCAGAGCAGTTCAGCATCACTGCTCCCATCACTGTGCAGATGGCACAACAGTTGATAGGAAAAATAATAGGAAAATAAAAATAAATAAGAAAAATAGGAAAATAAATAGGAAAAATAAACTGGAAGACAGCAAGAGTGAAGTGAGGCAATGCTGCAACCCCAGCCCTGGTTTTCCATAGGACAGGAAGCCAGCCTACCTGGCAGAAGACAGGTTTGTACTTCAGGGAGAAAGCCTGGAGCAGCTCCTTGGAATCAGCGCAGTCTTTTTGCAGTTTATCCACACAAAGGCACTTGGAGTGAATGAGGTTTGTGGTGAGCTGGTTCACATCCATCCACTGTGCAAACAGAGTGCTCTCCTCCAGCTGCTTGCCCAGGAGCTCCAGCCTGGCCTTGGCAGCAGAGTCTTTCTTCATGTACTCCACGAAGCCGTAGCCCTTGGAGCGGCCGGTGAGCTCGCTGTACACCAGGAAACAGCGCTCCACGTTGCCATAGGCACGCACCAGTTCCTCAAACTCCTCGATGCCCAGGGAAGGGGGCAGGTTGGTGATGCACAGCAGAGCATCCGTGGGCTGCAGCTGCACCGAGATCTCCTTGCCACGCAGGCAGTGCTGGTGGAACCTCCTGATGGCGCTCTGAGCCTGCTCCCCGTTCAGCAGCGTGACAAACGCTGCAGGAGAGAGCACGGGGACATCAGCCAGCCCAGCTGGGCTGCAGCCACGCCTTCCCTCCCCTGGAACCACAGATTCACCCACAGATCCAACAGGTAAATGTATCTGCTACAGATAATACCTAAAATCTCAATTGAACATCATGAGCAATTAACTCAGTGACTATGCTGTGATGCTCACAACTTCACTACCTATAACCCAACCAATTCTGTATCGGGGGAACAAAATTAAATATTCTACTAGCAGACTGTTCTTTACTAGATTAAATATTATACTAGCAGACCATTCCCTCCCCTGGAACCACAGATTCACCCCACAGATCCAACAGGTAAATGTATCTGTTATAGATAATACCTAAAATCTCAATTGAACATCATGAGCAATTAACTCAGTGACTGTGTTGTGATGCTCACAACTTCACTCCTTGGAACCCAACCAATTCTGTATCTGGGGAACAAAATTAAATATTCTACTAGCAGACTGCTCTTTACTAAATTAAATATTCTACTAGCAGACCTCTCCCTCCCCTGGAACCACAGACTGACCCCAAAGATCCAACAAATAAATATATCTATTATAGATAATACCTAAAATCTGTTCAATTATCAATTGAACATCATGAGCAGCTACCTCAAAAAGTGACTATGTTGTAACGCTCACAACTTCACTACCTGGAACCCAACCAATTCTGTATCTGGGGAACAAAATGAAATATTCTACTAGCAGACTGCTCTTTACCAAATTAAATATTCTACTAGCAGACTGTTCTTTGCTAACTTAAATATTCCACTGAAGTGGAATACACACATCACAGATTCCATGGAATCTCTTTGATGACAACATCCTCAAGCTCTCCCTTTGGGGTTAACAGATCTTTTTTTGGGTTTTTCAGTCCACAGGCATTTCACACAGTCCCAGACTGGATCAGGGTGGCAGGGACCTCCTGCTCCTCAAGCAGGGTCACCCAGATGGGTTCCCAGGATCCCAAGTGATGGGGATCTCTCTGGACACCCTACAGCAGTGCTGGGTGACCCTGGCAGGGCAGAAGTGTCCCCTGATGTGAGCAAACTGCAAATGCAGCTGGGGCTGGGCAGGTTTTCCTCTCAGGCACCTGGGGTTTGTCCCAAGAGAGGCCTCAGGGCCAGTTTTCCAAAGGAATTCAGCCACCTGGGGTCAGCTCTGTCCCAAAGGGACACTCACTGAGGAATGCTCCTGAGAGAGACCAGAGGGGACCAAAAATCAGATCAACACCACAAAGTTTCCAGCTTTCACTGGCTTCAGTAGCAGGTGACAAAAAAGGCACTGGGGGAGCCAGACAAGCTGTGACAGTCCACACAGCACTTGATGTCCCTCACAGAATTGAAATAAATGGAAGTTTGAAGTTCTCACCTGTTCTTTTATTCCTGTCCACATAACAGTACTTGATTTCATAATCTTTAAACAAGTCATGGATTTCCTGCAAGGGAAGAGTACAAATAACATCACATAAATAAGTCCCCAAACCAAGCAAGTGGATAAATTCATCCTCATTTCAAACAAAACCAAAAACTTTCCCAACAAACAGAAAATTTCACCATAGAAACACTATCAAATATTTGTTTTTAAAGGAGTTGGTTACACATTGCTGCAGCCATAAAAAACTGGCTTGCAGAATTTGATTAATTTGCTTTTCATTCTCTGGAGTGACATAAACACAAAAGGCTGTCCTGTAACTGTCTTTTGATAAAGACAAATAACATCACAGCTCATTAAATAGCAAAACCCTCTCCATTTCTCTGAAGTACAACTGGCATAGCTAAAATGCCACATGGACAAGGAACACTGGCAGCATCACATCACCAAACTCGCTGAGGGCACAATGCTGCCCCAAAACCCAACAGTTGCTTTGGTGTCCTGCTCAAGTTCACTTTAATAGATTTTCACCCTTAATAATGGATATTCTTTCACCCAGCAGATAATTGTGGCCAGAGCACCCCCTGGAAAGTATCCTCTATCAATTACTGCACAGCTGTTCAACAGAGAATCAACCCCAAGAGTGTTATTTGCTCCCACTAATTAATGGGGACAGAGGAGGGGTGGCTGAGAGCAAGTCTAAGAGGAGTTTGCTACAGCTATTCCCAAAAAACCAAGGTGCACATCCCCCAAAAACCCCACAAATTATTGTCATTCAGGGATGAGAAAGCAGAGCTGAGCACTCACCATCCCAAGGAAAAACCAGGAGTAATAACCTGGATATTTACAGTATTTTAGCTGGACAAATCCCACACACAAGAGTGCAAGGTGATTTCTGCAAGCAAAATAATCAAGCAGCTTTGTCTGAAAGTTTAATTGCAGCTGATTTCCAGCAGCTGAGTGGAGCTGCCAGTTTGGTAATTCAATATATGGAGCCTAAAGGTTAATTGGGTTCTCTGTGAGAGGTATCAGGTGCACACCTTTTAGTCAGGAGAGCACCAATCTCTGGTTTCACTGTTTAACAGCTGTCAAATACTGCATCAATAAAATATGGCAGCATTTCTGCAGCCACCACACGTCCTCTAATAAGGTGTGATGAGGATGGGGTTTCTGAAATGCAAGATATGCCCAAAATTCCAGCCAGGCAGGGGATCTGAGTGTGGACACCTCTCAAACAACAACGAGATGGCTCTGCCTCAGACACAAGAGACTGAGAAGACACTTTCTGTACACTTCTGGCAGCTCTGTTGTGCTGAGCCACTGAAGACCTCAAAAAGTTGTTTCTGTCCCACTCAGCAAGAGAGGGACATATTTGCCCTTTTTATTTCCTGTAGTATTCTACAAGAGCACCATTGCAAGTTTTATATCATTATTAGGTAGCAGGAAGTTGGATTTCAAACAGCTCTGAACACTCTTCTGAAAGTCATCTGTGTATCAGATGATTCCACATGATTCCCCTGAAACTTTGTAAGGAAAACAGCCCCTACTGAACAGGTCTTTGGGGGATAATTATGAGATCTGATATAAAAACTGATGAGAATGTAAGGGAGATTTAAAATAAAGCCTGATTTAAGCACAGAAATCCAGTAAAGATTTTAGCACCAGCTCCCACGGGAGGCTGCAAGCACTGCCGGGTTTGTGCAAAGGGTTCTTCCAGGAAGGTTCTGGTTCTTGTGGGCTCCTGGCAGGGCTGAGAGCTTCACCTGTGGAGCTGGGGTTGGGCAGTGTTTCAGTGAAAGCATTTCTCACATAAACACCGCTCGTGAGGATTTACAAAGATAAAACACACCCAGGGAAATGTGTACTCCTTCCCATTAAACAGCTGTAAGTATCTGTGTGCTACACTGAGATTTCCCTGCTTGCTAAGCCAGGCACCTCTCTAAACTTCACCTCCAGCATCTCCCAGCACTCAGGTCTGGTGGAAAAGAAGGAACAGAGCTCCCATTGTGCTGCTGTTCTCAGTTTCACTCCCCACAGCTCAGGGCAGGAGTGTCAGGAAGCAATGGGAACGACAGCTCTGATCCCAGGGCTCCAAGCAGCTCCCCAGGCCTGGCCAGGAGGGGATGTTTGCTCTGGGGTCAGCCAAGGCAGGTGGATCCTCTGCAGCTCTCCAGGGGCAGAAGGGAATGCTTGCTCTGGGGTCAGCCAAGGCAGGTAGATCCTCTGCAGCTCTCCAGGGGCAGAAGGGAATGCTTGCTCTGGGGTCAGCCAAGGCAGGTAGATCCTCTGCAGCTCTCCAGGCCTGGCCAGGAGGGAATGTTTGCTCCAGGGTCAGCCAAGGCAGGTAGATCTCTGCTGTGACCCCGCTCCCTTGTGAGGAATGTAAGCACGGGGATGTTTCCGTGAGAACGGCACAAACAAACAGCAGCTGCCTGCTCCCACTGCTGCTGCTCGCTCCTGTTCTGCTGTGAGGTTCTGACTGTAATTCAGTCCTAGCAGGCAGTTGTACAGCCTCTCCTATTTTGTACTGTTATGGTATATTTTATTCTCAATGGGTTGCTCCTTCTCCTCTGTGCTGTCAGTTCTGCCCTAGGTGTCCATGTCCCCAAAGACCTTTCCCTGCTCCTCCTCCCACTGAATACCAATCCCTCCCCAAGCCTGCCCCTTTCTCTAGAAACTTCCCCATCCATTTTGTATCCTCCGAGGCCCCATTGGTTTGTTGAAGTTGTTCTCCTCCCCTGTAATCCCCTCTTGATTTAAACATTGTATTCCCTGCTTGTGTTCCACCCCCAGCTTCTCCCAGTTGGTTAAAGATTGTACCCACCCCAGGACCTCCCCCGTTGATAAACTGATGTACACTGAGATTTTGACAACAAAAATGTTAAAAAATGTTAACCTGTTCTATCTGGTCCCTTCCAACCCAAACCCTTCCAGGATTTTGTGCTCCTGGAACAGAAATATAACCAATATATAGAAACAACAGAAGATAGATAGATAGATAGATAGATAGATAGATAGACAGACAGATAGATAGAGATATATAGAATATATAGAACAGAAATATAACCAATATATAGAAATAATAGAATACATAGATAGATAGGTAGATAGAGATATATAGAATACACAGAAAATAACAGAAATATAACCAATAAAGCATAGCCACTCCACAGCCCCTTAAAGCTTTAAAAGCAGATAATCTTGTCATCAATACAAATTAAAATTGTAATTAGGAAATTATCAGTTATACATGCAAATTAGCAGAAAAAGCAAAATCAAATCTAATAAAGGGAGTTTGGGAGAAACCACCCTTTATCCTTTAAAAAGGTGTATTATTTACTACTGTAAATGTGGTCTTGAAATACTTCAGTTCTTGCCCTGTCCTCTCTTGGGTAGAAAAACTGGCAATCTGAGTTTTCAGCTCTTATTATCAATTTGAGATTTGCACCTCAAACTTACTGTTTAGTACCTGCATTGTTTTAAACACAAATTAGAAGGGGACTCTCTCACAGGTACATTTATCAAATTAGCAAAGCTCAGTGGTTTATTTCTAATTAAGGCAGCTTGTCCTACCCAGACTGTCACAGTGTAAGGGAAAAATACCCAAGAAATTCTCAGTACTCACCTGGAACAATACATAAGATATAAAAGATAATGTATATAAAGCCTACAGCACACCAAACTCAAGCACTGTTCTCTCTCTGGAAGCAAAACAAGACTTGATATGAAATGTAATAATTGTGCTGTTCTGGCAAGAGAATATTTAACAATTCTGAGGGTGCCTGGCCAGATGTCTGCAGTGAGCTTTAGGGAAGTCTCCAATATAAACACTCTCCAAGCCTGGTCCATAACTTGGCTCTCACTGAGCAGCTGAAGGCCTGAACTTCACATGAATATCCTTGAAATGAGAATCAATTAAGTTTAAAGTAGTTACTTGGCTAAGCAAGAAGTTTTAAATCATCTCCCAGCTGAAAAAGGCTTTGTTCCATTTGTGCAGGCAGGGTAGGAAAATGAGAGCTTCTCAGAAAAAAAGCTTTGCATTTACAAAATGGTATAACAGAGTGCTCGTTTGATTCAGATTTTAGACTGCTAAATATCTGAGTTCATGACATGGATTTCACTGCAGGTATTGAATAAATAATAAGTAGTAAAAAAGAGAATATTGACACAGTTTAAATAATATGTTACTGAAGGGAAAACCCAGAGCTGTGCTGGAGAGCAAGTGCAGCACACAGCACCAACAAGAGGTTAATAAAAAACACAAAAGGACTGATGCAAAGTGCAATTTTAACCATCAGAGAGGTAGGAGGGCCTCAAAATGTCATTATTGCTGGATAATTCCCCCTAAAAAGTTACATTTCAGGCATTGGGCTCACCACATCTCCTCCCCCCCAGTTCCCAGGAGGTTTGCAGTGCTGAGGTGAGGAGTTCTCAGAGGAGCAAGGCTGGAGGCTCAGGGCTCAAACCTGCCAGGAACAGCGAGCACTGAGGAGCATCCCAAAGCTCCTGCCCAGCTCATTCCCTCTTCACCGCCACCATCCCAAACCAGGAAACCTGAAATGCATTCATTCCAGGCCATAAACTGCTTTTGGGGCAAACCTCTGTGTTTGGGAATTGATTCTCACTTTTGTAAGATCAGAGCCCTCAAAGATCTTAGTGAAGTAATGTAAGAAAATGTGAAGACAGGAAAACAACAATTTCTCAGTGGAATGAAAGACTTTTTCCTCTGATCTTCCAGAGATTTTTGGGAGTGTTGCTCAGAGGATCTTTATGGGACTGGAAATTAATTCCATCATCCTGGGTATTCTGGATGGTGTGAGAGCTAAATGAAAGAGGGAAAAAGACATAGAAAGAAGTAACTTGAGAGAGCAGGAGCACAAAGCAAAAGCAAAGTAATACAGAAAATGTTAAAATTCCATCCTAAGGCATGAGAGCTGCTCCCTGTCCACAATGTGCCTTTCATGTTCAGGCAGTGTGACAGAGGAGGAATGAGAACACAAAGGCCCCTCTACTTAAAGCTCTGGCATCCAACAGACTGGGGAGAGCACTTCCTCAAACCATCACACCTCATTAGAGGCTTTCCATCTAACAGGGAAAATTACAGCTAATCCAGGGAGAAAGGGGGAAAAATGCCACAACCCCACCAGAAACAGCACCAAGCTAAGTAGGGATTTGGCTTTTGATCAGGAACAGACAGCAGAGAAAAAAACTGAATGGGTCCATGAGGTTCCAAAATGCCAAATAAATCCCTGTCCCAGGTGGACTGCAGCAGGTTTGGATCAACATCTCAGTGTTTCATTGTTCTCTGATTCTGTCCCACCTCAGGAGAACCACGGGGTGTAAAAATAATTACCCAGCCCTACTTGCTGCATGTTCTACATTAAAAGAGCATCCTCTCCACCAGGTTTATTTTGTAGAACTGTGACATAGTGGCAATTAGGGATAATCAAGCCCAAAATGGTTGGGAGCAAGAGCATCTTCCATAGCATCTTCTCTTATCTGCAAAAAATGAGAAGCAAAAAGCCAACAGCCCTTGCTGGGCAGCTGATCTTGGCACAGAACACTGGAGATCTGGCTACAAACTAATTATTAATTATTACAATTCATATTAGTTTTATTAGTGTTATACTAATTTTAGCTATGTTTTATTTTGTTTCAATAGTTAAACTGTTCTTAACCCCCAAGATTTACTTTTGCCCTGACTCTCCCCAGCACCAGAGCTGTGAAGAAGTGAAGAAGTGAAAAAGTGGCTGTGTGGTGCTTATTTTCTGGCTGGGGTAAAAGCAATACAAACTCAAAACAAAACTTCCTGTTCAGTGAGGTACAACTTCACTTCCACTCTGGTCATCCTGAAGTTCTGGTCATGTCTTTAGCAGAAAAGGAGAGAGGGAGGTGGTGTTTCCTTCCCTCCCTCTGCTCAGAGCAGTGCTGCTCCTGCAGAGCACTGGGAACAGCTTTAGGATTGTTCCGGGACCTTCTGGTTGCAATTTTTGCTCTCACAACATGGCAGGGGGCCGTGTTCCTTGCTGCTGGAGCGGATGATGGCTCAGGGATGTGGCTCAGGAGGATGCACACACACAAGGCAAGCCAAGAGATCCCTGGTGCGGTGCCAGGCGGATCACGATGAAAGCCATCGCCACAACCACGCTCCCTTTAAAGTGCCCTGGCAGAGCCTGCTCTGCAAGCACCAGCCTGACCACAGCACCACATCAGAGGCTGTCAGTGCCACCAGGACAGAGCCAGTGTCTGCTGTTCCTCAGGGGACTGACACCCAGGGGTGATCTTGGTGCAGAACACACCACATCCCTGCCCTGCCCTAATGAAGCCATTAAGGGCCTGCTGCAAGAGCACAGGACACATCCCAGTATGAAACATGAAATATCTCCTCTGGCACCCAGAACTGCAACTGGAGCACTGGGACCTGCCAAGGCAGCAGAGTGGATCCCTGCTCCAAGCACGTATCCCAGGGAAGCTCCATGCAGAGACAGGGGAGCCTCTCGTGATCCCCCAGTTCTGAATTCTGCCTTTAAGGCACAGCCACTGCTGCAGGTATCAAAGCCCTGAAGAGTTACAGAGGTCAGCAGCAGCCTGTGGCCGTTTCTGGGTCATCATCACACCACACGTGGGTATTGTGCTGGAGGCATCCCATGAGGGTGAATTTGGGAACTACCTGGCAGCTCTGACGAGTTCAGCATCCACTGACTTGCCAGCTGAACAGCAAATGCAGACTCTGCACTCAAGAGCAGAGAAGATGGAAAACAGATCTGCCACAAAAAATCCTTTCTCCATGGCTGTAGTGAGGGAATTGCCTGAAGGAACACTGATCCTGCAGGCATCTATCTGCAGGGTGAGCTCTGGTTTCTAAACCTGTTTCTGCTTCAGAAACCTCGTGGCCAAGGGACATTTCTTCTGTGGCCCCAAGGGTAATTTATTTTTTTAAATTTAGTTTAACACAGGTGGGGCTCCAAAGGTAATTGAAGATTACAAGTACAATAATAAAGTTAATATGTAGCTACAATTGGCAGAGGAATTACATTTGTTATGTAACTCCATATTAATAAAATTAGTTTTTTCCTACTTTTCTGACAAAACTGAGTATCTCCACCAATCTCTCTCTCTATCAGCAAAACAGTCATTTTTCATTTCAAAACTATTTTGGTAAATCTTGGCCTCACTCTTCACTTAACAACAAATGGCAGCAAAGCCAACACCCCAACGCTCAGAGATGAATAGTTACATTTATGAAAACCTATTTTGGGAGACTTGGCTGCATTTCAGTGATGTTCATCTCCCTCTTGACAGTGAATAAAGCTGGCCAGGTCAGAAACAGTTTATCTGATTTTACTTGGCTCACCAATTACTGCAAGGAGAAGACAAACCCGTGTTTACCATGGGTGTTAACTGGCAACAAAAAAAAAGTTAAATTTCATAGTAATTTTGAAGCCAAATACACAGGTAGACTTAACATGCCTGACCACAAACACCCTTCTTTCCAAACCTGCTCCAGGACAGAAACTTTCTCTCTATGGCACAATTCTTCTGCCTTTGTTTCCACCACCAGCAGCTCATCAACGTTAAAAATAAAAATGACAGTTTGTAAAGTGCGCTTTAGGATCTGTACACGGTGTCCAGGGCAACATTAGAACCTGACACATAGGAGAAAAAGGCATCTAAGCGCTGCTTTGAAGCCCTCAAAACAAAAAGGCAAACTTCCAGAAGACTCCGTGGCTGCCAAACTTGACCTTAACGTTGGTATTTCCCTGTAGCACCCACCGGCTGAGCAAGCACCGCCAAACCTGAGAGGAGAATTCCCACACGGGAGCCCATGCAGGGGGAGCAGTGACACACCCGGAGTGTCACAGAGTGTCACAGAGCGCTCCATCCAGGGCGAGCATCTGGTGACACTCCAGCAAAGCCTCTCTGTCAACACCGCCGCTTCGTGAAGAGACGAAGATTAGCAGCGCTCGCCAAGCTGCGAGTTTGCTGCAGATCAGCTCATCGGGCTGCTATCAACAGAGGTGCCCAAAGCAGCCTAACAAAGCTGTCAGCTCCAAACTTTGAACCTGCTAGAGCCGGGCCAGACACACCGACAGAGAACAAAACAGCGCGAAGTGCAGCGGCCAGCTGGGCCCTGCGGCTCGGGTTACTGCGAGCGCCCCAGAGCCTCTCCAAAATGAATAGTCCCTTTCTACGCAGAAATTGAGAGTCTGCACGTGCTGCTCTCAGCCGCAGGTACTAAAACCACCTGTGCTTCAGACGGGGGGAGGCACACCATCAGCAGAGCAGAACAAAAGGCGCTGTTACTTTTCTTTTTTTTTTCTTTTTTTTTTTTTTTTTTAAATACTCATGCATCAAGTTGAGTGCTTGGAGCTGCTGAAGTGACTGTGCAGCTAAATCACCTCAGCATCTGACTCACAGCACTCGGTTGAAGAGTTCAGCGATCATCTCCTACCAACAGCAGCAATTTGAGCGTAATTTTCCTAAACCACCGTCAGACTGCGGAAAACCGCTTTCCCTCTCTACGTCTGGCTCACCTCACAATAATAATGAATAAAAAAAAAGCCAGTCTGGAAGCTTTTTCTCCCAGATTTCGCACGGAAAGCGGCTGTGCTGCAGTGCCCTACCTGTGCGCACACAGGTGCCGCCTCTCCGGCGGCGCTCCCGTTACCCGCTCACCCCACACCGAGCCCCGCTCGCTCCCTCACGGCCCGGGCCGCGACCCCGCCGTTCCCCGGGGAGTGCAGCCCGGCCAGCCCGGCGTGGCCCCCGGTGAGGGCGTGGACGGGCGAGCCGGAGCCGCTCTCCGCAGGTAACAAAGCCGCCCCACGCAGCCGGCGCCCTGAGGGGCAGCTCTGAGGGGAGGCAGCGCCCCGCGGCCGCCGAGCCCCGCGGGGGACCCGGGGCTGCCCCGCGCCTCCCTCCCCGCTGCCGGCCCCCGCCTGAGGCGCGGGCGGGAGCGCGCCACGCCGCCGGGCGGCTGCGGGCAGCGCTGGCGGCCGTACCTGGCTGCTGCTCTCGGCCGGCAGGTTCCGCAGCAGGATCTTGCGGCGGTTGCCCAGCTCGCGGCGGGTGCTCGCCAGCCGCCTCGCCACCTCCTCGGCGCTCAGCGGCGGCGGCTCCGCGGGCAGCGCCGCGCCGCGCTCGCCTCCCGCCGCCATCTTGCAGCGCGCCGGGGACCGCGGGGGGAGCGCGGCGCTGGGGCCGCCCCCGCCCTGCCCCGCCCGGGGCAGCCTGAGGGAGCCCCCGGGCCCGGCCCCTCACGGCAGCCGACCCCGGCCCGCCGAGCCCCGGAGCGACGCGGGGCAGCCCAGCGGGCTGGGGGCGGGCTCGGCGCTGCCCGTAACGGAGCTCCGGGGGGTGTGCGGGATGAACGGGACGCAGCGGCAATTTCACAGAACGGGTCCGAGCGCCCTGCTCAGACAGGGACATCCCAGAGCACATGGCACAGGATTGTGTCCAGACGGGTCTGGAGTAGCCCCAGTGAGGAGACTCCTGAGCCTCTGGACAATCTGTCACCCTTCTTGCAGTGAAGAAATTCTGCCTCCTGTCCAGGGGACCTCCCTGGTGTCGGTTCCTGCCCGCTCCTCTGGTGCCAGCGCTGGGGCCCGGGACAGAACCTGGGTCATGCTCTGCCCCTCCCTGCACACAGGGACAGCCAGGGACGGACAGCCAGGGACAGCCAGGGCTGAGGCCCCTCTCAGCTGGGGCTCCTCTCCAGGCTGAGCAGCCCCAGCTCCCTCAGCCTTTCCTGGGCACCGAGATGCTCCAGGCCCTTGCTCAGCTCCAGGAGCTCCTGGCCCTGCTGTGCTGAGGGACAGAGCTGGGCACAGCACCCAGAGGTGTCCCCAGGGCTGGGCACAGCACCCAGAGGTGTCCCCAGGGCAGGATCTTCCCTGACCTGCTGGATCTGTGCCCAGGGAAGGTGGCAGTGATGGAGATTTGGGAAATTATTGGTGCTGGGAGAGGATGAGGGATGGTGCCCTGGCCTTGGCCCCCATCAGGATGGATCCTGGGGCAATTCCCCTCACAAGAGAGCCCCAGCTGTTCTCCGGCATCACCCCTGACCTGCTGGGAATGCTCCTCCTGAAGATCCTCCTGAAGGTGCCCTCAGGACACTCTGCTGGCTCAGAGACTGCTCGTTGTCCACCAGCACCCTCAGGCCCTTCTCCTCACTTCATCCCACGGTAACCCATCTCCAGACAGATTTTTGGGAAGGATTTGAGTGCTCTGAAGAACAGCCGGGGCTCTGTTGTGAGGGGAATTGCCCCAGGATCCATCCTGATGGAAGCCAAGGCCAGCAGCAATCATTCCCCAAATCCCCATCACTGCCACCTTCCCTGCATACAGATCCACTGGAGAGGCTGAAATACAGAACAGCAACAAAATAAAGCTGATCCCACAGAATCAGTTAGGCTGGGGAAGAGGAAAAGTTTGTTTAGTGGGAAATTCTGAAATACAGAACAGCAACAAAATAAAGCTGGTCCCACAGAATCAGGCTGGGAAGGACCTCTGAGATCATCAAGTCCAACCTGTAATCCCAAGAGAACCCAAGAACTCCACTGGAGATCAGCAGGCACGGTGGCCCAGAGTGATCTTGTCCCGGTTTTATTCCTCACCTGGAATGTGGCAAATTGATTAAAATCCATGCAAATGGGGAAAACAGCACCTGGCTGCTGTGCTGGTGACACGGGGACAGGCACAGGGCTGTGACCTGACACAAAAAGGAGCCCAGCATCACAACAGAAGGACAATATTTCATATTGTCACTATAAAATAAATTTCCCCTTCCATGAGGTCTCTGTCCATATAAACATTTCACTCAGCACCCATTTTAAAAAATAAAATAGGTTGTTCTTTTGGAAAATCCATTTTTCCTCTAGCACAGTCCCTTGCAATGTCATTTACAGCCCAGTAAATTTAGCTCTTAACGTTGTCATCATTGCTATAAATGAGTGAAGAATAATTTAAATTTTTGTAGCCATTTTTAGACACAAGGCCAAGCACAAAGAACAGGCAACAGAGAATCCAGACCTGAAACATAAAGAGCCTTAAAAAGGAAATTGGAAGAACACTTGAAGTTAAATTGGATGTGTGTAACAATTCTTATCAAGAAAATCTAATTCTGATGGATAATTCTTGACTAGGTTCAAGGTTCCATTTTAATTATCAGTTACAGATTAAAAAACTCCACCAAATAAATTATTTTAGAAATCGCTTTAGCCCAAACCAAAACAAGTTAAGAACACAAAGTATTTTGGACTTTTTTTACTTCTAAAATGAACTTTTAAACTAGAGTAATCAAAGGGAATTTTGGTTTTCATTTAAAAATTGACAGCTGACAAGCTTCTGTTCAAAGGCTTCCTTTTCACGAATTTTTTCTCAAACAGGTAATGTTCCTCCTTTTCCAATATTTGCATTCTTTTTAATAAAATCATTGGAAATGAGAGGGTGTGAAGGGTTCATAGATTATGGGATGTAAATAATTCTGGGATCATGAAAAAGGAACACTTTTCTCCTAGGGATACTGAAACATGAAATATCTCCTCAAAAATTATCACCAGATCAAGCTATTACAGCAGAAATTATGGATCTGCTCAAATATCATAAAATTCAGTGATGCTAATGAAGGAATTCAAGCAGAGTAATTAATTTTACCATTAATTTTCCACTTCGAAGGTGGACACTGCTTCACCTGTAACCAGTGCTCATTAATTCTACTTACAGCAATTGTCTCCTCAAAATTTGCCTTTTTTTGGTCATTTTTGATGGGCTGCAGGTGTCCCTGAATTGAAGTCATTCAAATTTAAAGTGCATTGCTGAAAGAATTCAGAAATGAAGCTTGGTATTAATGGCACAAACACGATTCCTGCAGTAAATAGTTCCATAAAAACTTGAGAAAATAGGAATATATTCAGAGAATATATAAAATATCAGAGAAATAGACCTTTTTCTTTCTTGGTTAGGGATAGATATTTAAAATCTTGTATATTGTAGGTTAAAGTATTCATTTTTCCCCCCAACATTCATGTGCAGGTGATACCAGCCTCCCAAAAACAGACCTGTTCCAGGAGGAAGAGGAGGCTGAGCCAAGGCATGCAGGTATTTCCTTTAGGAATTTCCTCCTGTTGATTAGAGGCTTCCATGAAATATTTATATGACTTTGACTCCTTTTCTGGAGCTTCCAAACCAAACCTCCAAATAAACCCTCCATGTTTATGCTTTGATCTAAACAGTTTCCCATTTTCTAAAATACTTTCATTGAGTTTTAATACTGCTGCAGAAGCAAAAAACATTGTTAAATTAAATTTATTATTAAAAAATAGATCAGTAACTTCAGTTGTGCTGCTGCACAACTGATAAACCACCGTGTAATAATTTAATTTAGTTCATTAAATATCCCTGCTAATTAAGAGTAATGTACTCAACCCCAGCAGTTCCATTTGTAGCTCTCCTAAAAAGATAAATTTCCCTGTGCTTCTGCAGCTTTGAATCATACCAGCCATATATATTTTGTAATTTTTATGGAATGAATATGAATTGTAATTGTAATTGTAAATTTAAACATTTTTTTGGAATTACAGGTGCAGTCAGACAAAATTGTCCAGGTTGGGTTGGTTGAAGGAGTCCCTGCCCATGGCAGGGCTGGAATGAAATGGGATTTAAGGTCCCTTCCAACACAAACCAGTCCAGGATTTTGGGGTTTTTTGAGATTCTACATCCAAAAGTACAAATTTAGATCTGTGCACGTAAAGTGAGAGCCCAGACTGAGAACATCTCTTGGACACAAAGCCCCACCTGACATTGCCAGGTATTTGAGGTAAGTGATAGCCTAATGAAATAGAAATCAAACAATTCAGTGTTTCCTGCAGGGGGATGTGGGACCCAGCAGCTGCTGCACATCCCATCAGATAAATGGATTTTACCATCACACCTCATGTCAAACACACAATCCATGGCACTCCCTTTTGTCCCTGCTCTTCTTGCTCCAGCAGGAATCTGGAGAAAATCAGAAAATCTCGGTGTGTGTTTCATTCACACACTGAGGTTTTGGATCCAGAAGTTGCAGATTTCATTTCAACACCAATAATTCATTTGGTGATGGTCACTCAGATCACTCACAATGCACTCTGCATCCAAAATACACCAGAGGTGCCAAAAGGAGTTAATTTGTCCTTTTATCCCTACAAATTCCAACACTCCTGGCATTCTTCATGCACCATTCCATGACATGCCCAAACTTGGGATGTTTCTTTACTCCTGTTCTTCCACCCAGGCACAAAAACTCTGCCAAACACTTGCAGTGGGACCTGCTGCCTGTGAAATTGCTGTTCCTGAGTTTGGGAATGATGGATTCTCCCAGGATCAGCCTGCTGAGCAGCTTCTCCTTGCTTCTACTCCTTAACTCAGAGTCCTGCAAGCAAACAGTGGAAAGGTGGGAGAGTTCAGAGCTGGAACTTGCACAGTGAGTAACTCCTGCAAGGAAATCATTACTGGCCTCTGCTGTCATGGGCTATTTTGGGACCTGTGGTCTCTGCAGCAGAATTTCAAACCTTTGTTGCTCTGTGCATCATTAGCAGATCTGTGTGCTTGTGTTTAGAGGCAGCAAAAAAAAAGAGTAAATATTAAAATAAACACCACAAAGCAAAGCCAAGTTCTTGAATAATAACTGAGAACAAAGGAAAATGAGACCAAACAAATACAATTCTCAATAAATGGCCCAGATATTCACAGGGGAACCTCTGCAACACTTTCTCCTGAATCAATGTCCTGCTTTAAATCACCATTCTTCCCACACAGGCTTTATTTTTCCTCATTCAGCTTCAAATTTAGTCATTACTTATTGGAACCAAGTGCATTTTGGCAATTTTAGCATTAAAAAGCATCCAAATGTTACTTGGATTCCTGGCAAAAGCAGGTCCAGCCCCACATTCTTACCAGGAGTGTTTTTATTGGCCAGCCCATGAATGTGCTGCAAATGGGAATTCCAAATAAATCAGTCCGAGATTCCCCAAAAGCACCAATTTTCTAGGAACTGGGACAGTGACAATTCACAGGGAATTACAAAATCATTTACCACCACAAACCAGGGCAATCATAATGCTGGGGGTGAAAGCATTCCATAGGGTGAATCCATACCTCTCCATTCCTGCTCCTTGGA